ATCAGCAGAGACCAGCCTTCCTACATAACAGACCTCCTTTTTGAAGAGCTTGCTCCTGGTTGGCTTGAACTTCTCCCCGTGAGGTTGGAGGGCCCTCAGGACACATGCCAGTGACTCGACATGATCTTCATATGTCTTAGACTTATTTGTGACACTGTAAGCCATAGATGACAAGTATTTGCGCTAGATTCGCAGTAAAAATGATACAATTTCATGAAAGATTAATTGAGTACCAAACAACATCAAAGACACTGAAAGATCGATTTTTACGTTGTTCTTTATTGGATTAGACATCAAGCGCGCATGCATGCCAAAACTGTAACATCTGATGTAACATCAGATCTGAGAACTCTACTATTTACTACTGTACTAACACTATTAGATTTTAATGAACTGGTCTTCTTTGAACTTATTAATTGTTTAAATTGAAGTAGTAGAACAGAAAATTGAAAACTCCAAATTGAAAACCATAGGCCTATTTATGACAGCTGTTTGGAAGCACTGTGGAGAAAGAGGATGGAATCCACCGTGCCGGGGTTTAGCCTGTTTCGACGCGCTTCCAGCACCCGACCTGCTGAGCTGAAAGCGCGTTCGCTCGATGCGCTGGTTGCAGGAACACAAAGCACTGCTCTTGCCAGCATCGAGAGGAGAGGGAAATCGTGACGGTGACGTCTCCAAAAGCCAAGGACGTCTTCAATGCAATCCTCAAGACTGAAGTGCTGTGAGAGTGCCTGTGGTTGCAAAAGAGCCCTGCATTTGTGACAGTGGTCATGTCAATAGCCTTTAATAGGTTGCATGCGATTTAGAGAGTCTATATTGCAAAAGGTAATATTTTTATCGTACTTTATATCTCTGAAAGTTCCTAAGTGATAAATGTGTTTTCTCTTTTTGACCCGCCCTGCCCGCATCCACAATATTTTAAAAAGCTATTACCCAAATCCGCCCGACCCGCGGATAAACCCGCGGATCTCCGCGGGTCACGGGTCGACCCGCGCATCACTAACGCACGCACACACACACACACACACACACACACTCACACACACACACACACACACAACTACAACCACACATTCGTTAGTACATTGTATTAACTTCCATTCATTCTGCTATGTGGTCAAAGTAGCAACCAATGAGAGTGACAAGTGTCCATTGTTTAAAAACTATTTAAAAATAGGAAGATATGATTTGTAAAACATTGATATCTTCATTTCTACTCTGTCTCTATTTTTCATGAATTTACAGTTACTTATATTCAAAGAATCATAAAATTTGGACTCAGTTTTATTGTTGGTCACTCTAAAATCTACTCGTATGCTGATGATATCCTATCATATATCAGGCTCAGGTTTGTATACTGGTTGAGTGTAATCACGAGAAGCTGTGGGGTGAATGGAGTTGCCTTGATTAGGTGGGAGTGGCTAATACAGGGAGGTGCAGGAGGACAGGGTGAATGGAAAATTACTGACTGAGAGCTGGATGACAGAGAATGCTGTAGACAGGCAGGTGACCTGAGATGCAGAACTGTTACAGCTCCTGAAAATCCACCAAAGATTCAGCAGATTTCTGTCCCTCAAACAACATATAACAATCAGTTGAAGAGCTCAGGGTTTGAATGGAGGTGACAAAACTTTTAATTGACCAAATTTTATTAAAATTTCTGAAAGAAAATACAAAAACAAACAATTAGTTCAGAGGTTTAACCAGGGGGAGGGATCAATCTCGTTGTATTTCATGTCAATGAGAAAGGATCAAGATCATCTGTTGATTTTATAAAAACTACAGATGGAAGCAGAATTAATTGATGAACAGATCTTTATTTACTGGAAATACAGAAATTACAAACATTACAGAAAACCAGCGAATAAATCAGAGAGAAAGAGAGAGAGAGAGAGAGTGTGTTACAGAGAGCAGAGTAAAACCAGTAGCAGAGTCCCAGTGAGTCAGGTCAGAACTGGGAACACTGATCTCTCGTCAGTGTCTCTGAGACCAGAGTCTGGGAGCCCTGGGTGGCCTCACAGGTCACAGAGCCCAGCTTGCTCCACTGGTCTGCAGGGAGCCTCAGGGTGCTGCTCCAGCTGTAGAGGCCGTCCTTCTCCAGCACCCCGGGGCTCCTGCTCTCCTCCCAGCTGCTGCTGCTGCTGCTGCCCTCCACCTTCCAGGCCAGACTCCAGTCTGAGGGGAAGCCCTTGTTGGCCAGGCACATGAGCGTGGCCTTCCCCTCCTGCAGCTCCTCGCTGGAGGGGGGCAGCACTGTCAGGGTGGGACGGGCATCACCTAGGAGACACCAATCAGCTTAGAGGACAGGGACCACACATCTGTCAATCAAACACCAGACACTTTGACACATTTACTGTGTGACAGTTGATTTTCTCCTTAAAGGAGTTTCTGTCAGATGGTTTTTCTGCTCCACCAGTCACTCACTCACACATTGTTTCACTTCCCTTTAAGAAGCCTCTCATGCACATCAGCACAGAGACAATCATCATACATTTTCACCTGAAACATATCAACCTACACTGGAGAAACAAGAAGAAGATTTGGTAACAATCATGAAAAAACTTTAGGTTTACATGACATGTTAGTTTAGAGGGAACACAAATAAATACATAGAATAATCTGACAAACACCAATTTTCTTCATGTGGAATTCAATTGTCATTTAACGTTTTTAAATGTTTTCAAATTACAGTGGATGAACAACACAATGAAGACTTTCCAACGTTACTTTCTATAACAGTATTTATATTACAACATTTTCCAAACCTCATCGAAATGAAGTGAATCATCATCTTAAAAATAAAATATCTTTTCAGTTTGATATTGAATGAAGTTTAGGAAACATATTTAAAATAGAATTGAAGTTTGATCTTTTCTACAGTTGAACTTAAATTTCTGCATGACAGGAATGTGTAAAGAAACGTTTGGTAAAGCTGCTCTGAGTTCACCTCCATGATGAAGGAGGAGAAAACATAAATACTTAAAGTGTTAGAAATAAAACAAGATCATTTTATCTGCTGCAAACATTTAGAAACTAAATTTAAAACATAACATTACATTAATGTTCTTGTAGCATTTGTATAGAAACTTACTTCCAACATCCAGTCTGGTTCCTCCACCAAACGTCCACCACAGTGACACAAAGTCATTGAGCCGTCGTACAAAAACCTCTCACTGTGGAGTCACGGCTCTCTGACCTTGAAACAAACACACTCACCAAAATTAGTCTGTTTGTAATATTTTGGCAGCTGATGTGAGAAATGATAATATCCACAAAATCCCAGAATGTATATTTTTCTATTAAATACACTGTAAAAACGGTTGTAGAAATTAAAAAGCTGTAAAATAGCAACATTTAAAAGACCATAAAATCCAAAATAGTGTCACCACAGTATACACAGAATTAATGAGAAAATACCATGATGTCACAAGCAAGTGATTACCCTAAAATAAATTATATTATTCAGTCTAAATGATGGCTTATGCTTGTGTACATTTAATCTGAGTCTTAGTGTGCTACAACTACAATTAATCATATTTCTAATGTATTAAATGATCTACTGTCATGATTTAATGTAATCAGAACTATAAAACTAAAGGGATATTGTTCTGTTTATTTTCTATTTTCTAACAACAAGTCAGGTGAGTGTATTATTACAGGACGTCTTTGCATGGAAGAACATTTCTGATCTTGAAGTCTAAACTGTCCACATTCATTTGTGGCGCTTTAGTAGTGGTAAATACAAAAGTAAATTAGGGGGAATTTACTAAAACAAATTCTCAAAGGAAACTCCTCAAACACATCTGGATCAATATGCTGATAAAGTGATTGATACATTGATAATCAGCATCATGAGAGTGATCCAAGTCCCTGTTGGAGTGAGTCAGAGCATTTCCATAGAGAGCCACTTTGCATCAGCAGCACCATGCTCCAGTGCTCTGGGAGAGTTTATAGTCCTGAGAGTTGAAGACTGGATGACTGACAGCTGTCCTTCATGACAACAGAAGACACAGAAATCCTCCTCATCAAAAACATGACTTTGGTCTCCGTCCTCATCTGGACTCTCCTCTGCTGCTGCTTCACAGGTAAAGTCCAGAGAATCAAACTCCTCTCCTCTATCAACATCCGTCCCTTGAAATTGAAGCCGAAAAACCATGACGCTGCTTTATGTTTCTGTCTCTGTCTCCTCAGAGTCCAGAGGACAGGTCACAGTGACTCAGTCTGGAGCAGTGACCTCTGTTCTGGGAGCCTCTGTCACCATCACATGTAGGACCAATCCACAAGTTAATTTTTGGAATAACCAACACCTTTTAGCCTGGTACCAACAGAGAGATGGAGAAAAACCTAAACTGCTTATTTACGCTGCTACCACTCGAGCATCAGGGATTCCAGGTCGTTTTACAGGCAGTGGATCAAAGTCTGACTTCACTCTGACCATCAGTGGAGTCCAGGCTGAAGATGCAGCAGTTTACTACTGTCAGAGTGAACACTGGTTGAATATGGAAGTGTTCACACAGTGAAAAAGCATCGTACAAAAACCTCCCTCAGTCAGACTGAACAGAAACTGAACTGACTGCTGCAGCTGGAAGCTACTGCAGAGACTGATACAGTTCACTGAGAACACACACACACACACACACACACACACACACACACACACACACACACAGTCATAAATAGCTTACAAAGACAAGTCAACTTAAGAAACAATTTGATATTGTTTCAAATATATTCATGAATGTTAAATAGACATGTATGGTTTGTGTTTACACTACTTTAAACACTTTCATTTAAACCCTGCTTCCGTCCTTTAGAAAATCCATCAGCATCTCAGTCATAATTTATTTCATCTCTTCATAAAATCAGCCTGTATGCTGATGACATCATATTATACATGTCAACATCCACATATTTGCTTCTATATGTTATAAATCAGACCACAAGCTAAAGTAGAATTTCCACCTTCTCCCTCCTATCTGAACCGTTATGTGGTGTTTGGGTCAAATTGACATGTTTCAACTTTTTAGTAAAAGGCAAATGATCCAAACATACTTTTTTCAACCTTAAACCCCATGACCCTGGCTTTTTTTCCTTTGGAGAACATGTAAAAGAAAAAAAGAATTAATTGAGTACACATGCCACAGTGCCCCCATGCATTTATGTCCTTCATACGATTAATTCTATTAAATTGCCTAGTTAACAATTAGAAGTATCAATAATTGTATCTCTAAAAATTGGAAGATATTTCTGTTAGACAATGATGTTTTATTTCTCCTCTGTTTCCATTTTCCATGAAATCACCAGTTACTTACATTCAAAGAATCATACATCATACATACTCAGATGCCTTTTATTGTTGATCACTCTAAAATCTGCCTGTATTCTGATGACATCCTATCACACATCGCAAAATGCTCAGCTTGCATTCTTTCAGCCCATCATTTAATTAATAACGTGTGTGTGTGTGTGTGTGTGTGTGTGTGTGTGTGTGTGTGTGTAGGAAAACAAGATAAAATGACTGACTCTAAGAAAATGTACTACAAACAAGATGGGGGAACTGGGACTGCATGTCATGTGGGGAGGTAGAGAGAAATTGTGTTTCTTTATTTAAGGCCGAAGCCATGACCACAAAATGAATTTATCTGCAGATGGGGAACTATAAAATATTACAATAACATTCATTTCCCTTCTTTTGGCCCAGAATCAGGAACTAAAGCAGATTTTCTGGTGACTGTTGCTTAATGTTTAAAATGCATTACACACGCCTGTCATCGCAAACTAGTGTTGGTTCTACTCTATTCACAATGTACTGATCTCATTTTCATTTAAAAGACATAGTGTGTTTAATTGTGCACCATTTAAAAGCTGAACTTTTTCAATCTTACACCATTAACTTTTTCATTTTTTCCCTTCACATAATGCAATACGGCGTCAATGACAAATAACAAGTCCCTGTTGGAGTGAGTCAGAGCATTTCCATAGAGAGCCACTTTGCATCAGCAGCACCATGCTCCAGTGCTCTGGGAGAGTTTATAGTCCTGAGAGTTGAAGACTGGATGACTGACAGCTGTCCTTCATGACAACAGAAGACACAGAAATCCTCCTCATCAAAAACATGACTTTGGTCTCCGTCCTCATCTGGACTCTCCTCTGCTGCTGCTTCACAGGTAAAGTCCAGAGAATCAAACTCCTCTCCTCTATCAACATCCGTCCCTCTGAAATGAAGCCGAAAAACCATGACGCTGCTTTATGTTTCTGTCTCTGTGTCCTCAGAGTCCAGAGGACAGGTCACAGTGACTCAGCCTGGAGCAGTGACCTCTGCTCTGGGAGCCTCCATCAACCTCAGATGTAGGACCAGTCAGAACATTTATATTCATGGCATCTACCACCGTTTAGCCTGGTACCAACAGAGAGATGGAGAAACTTCTAAACTGCTCATTTACAATGTTGGCACTCGAGTATCAGGGATTCCAGGTCGTTTTACAGGCAGTGGCTCAAACTCTGACTTCACTCTGACCATCAGTGGAGTCCAGGCTGAAGATGCAGCAGTTTACTACTGTCAGAGTGAACACAATATCAACAGCCAGTATCTGTTCACACAGTGAAAAAGCGTTGTACAAAAACCTCCCTCAGTCAGACTGAACAGAAACTGAACTGACTGCTGCAGCTGGAAGCTACTGCAGAGACTGATACAGTTCACTGAGGACACACACACACACACACACACACACACACACACAGCAGCTAGCCATGTTAGGACATTGCATTGACTTCCATTCATTGTGGACAGCCGAGACTGTCCTCCTGTGAAAAACGAGCCCACAGCTCATTTGTGCAGCAAGTTATTACGATCCATAGTTACATTTTGTTGTTAGACAACATCTAGTGGTCGTTATGACAGCAGCAAAGGGAAAAGTGCGGTGACATAGTATAAAAAGAGACAAAGTCCACGTTAGGAGGAGGTTGCAGTGGATGGAGGGGTCGTCCTTTAGGTTATGTCACATGTAACAGACATGACATCACTGTCATGTCGTCATCAGAGGATGACAGAACCTGAATGACTTCCATGTGTTCACCTTCAACATCTGTTCTGAAAATGTCTCTCTAGTTCCTTCTTTCTGGTGTTATTGATGGCCCTGTGTCATCCTTTGTTTTCCCCAGAGGACGACACAGGGCCACAGGTTAATTGGAATGTCTTCACCCTCTTCTTCATCACTGGCCATTTTCAACTTTCCAGCAGTTTCAATCATCTTTTATTTTCTTCTCTTACTGAGTGTGTGCTGACAGCTTCCTGAAGCCCAAGTAAACACTGTGGGAAGCTTCCCTCTCGTCCTCATCCACCAACAAATTTTCCACCTTGGACAAGCCGGAATTCCCTCCACTTGCCGGTCAATCTCCTTTAAGTCAGTGGCAAAAATGTCTTTATCTCTGGACCAATTCCAACTCTAGGACGAGGAGTGGAGAGGTTCAGTAGGATCTTTTGCCTCCATGCCTGACACGCAACATTGCTTTCATTGACAATTTTAATCTCTTCTGGTGCGTGCATCCTTTTATGAATTAGATGGTATCTATCCAAATGCTCTGGGAGCTCCTGTTTTAGCCGCAAACATTCCGTACTCTCTGCTTACAGCCCCTCAGAAATAATGTGATTAAGTAGCTGTTGTTTTTGTGTTTTAAGTGTTTTAAATTCTGTTCCATGACAGTGTCTGATATCACTAGTTTTGAGGTCGTACCCCTCTGAATTAAATGATTATACTTTTAATCAAAGTGGCAATAAATGGCTACACATAGTCATTCATATATTTTATAAAATGTGTAAATTAACCAAACACTCCAAAGTGTTATACAATGTTACTGTAGCTCAACTAGTAGAGACAGAGCAAGGAGGTGACAACACAGTAATGGACTCAATATCCAGGAAGAACAGTAACAGATTCAAATGTATGTCTGTACAGCCAGGTGCTTTCTGATAAAAGTATTTGCTGAATGGAGTAAATGTGATGTTACGGCCTCCCTGACTAATCAACAGGCTCAACTGGAGACCAGGATGTATAAATTAGTTTTGTTTCAAATATAGCAAAACATCCTCAAGAGACTAAAGAAAACAAAAGAGGGGTGGAGATCCCAGCTAAAAGCAACAAAAGAAGAGAAGGTCGCATGGGCTGTCACACTCTCCGCCTTAAACTGCCTTAAGAAAACTAAACCAAAACAAAAACCGATAAATGAACTACCAGTGATCTCCAACCCAGACACTAAAACAACAAAAACCAACACTCTGGACCATGCTGGGAAAACAAAGAACAAAGTTCACAGACGTCTGGCAAGTGAGTGACCTCTCCTCTGTGCTCCTCAGGTCCCCCCTTTACTGTCAGATGTTGATTGAAATCAGGGCGCTTCACTCTTAGAGAAGAGAGAGAGAGAGAGAGAGAGAGAGAGAGAGAGAGAGAGAGAGACCCACAAACGGTGGATAATGGTGCTCAGACGGGGCCATGTGTAACAGTGATTAAGATAGACAAACAAAACAATTTTACATAATACAAATAACTTTGTCACATGATACATACCA